CGCCCTCACCACTCTAGGGTGATGTTCATTGTGTCAACTTGAGAAGTGTAGAAGGGTAACTAAGTGACTCAGCAGGGGGCCGGGTCCTCACTTTGTGAACATCCTGAGCCTGTGCAAGAGGAGGGCACAGAGATGGCGTGGGTGTAAAGGACCCCTCAGGGCGGGTAGGATGCTCCTCCCGTGAGCTGTTGCTGCCTTTGCCGTCTTCTGCTGCCTTGAACTGCTGCCCCTGTGCCCCGCCACCCTGCCTTGGAGCCAGTTGATTACAAACTGAAACCTCCACAAACTGTGAGTTAAATAAACCTTTCCTTCCTTCATTTTGGGTGTCAAGTATTTTGTCTCAGCAACAAGAGAAAAGTAACCAAGACAAAAACTGTATCTAATATCACTGATCATTTTCCTTCGGCTTTTTGATCCCTAATCACTTGAGGTTATTGCCACTCCCAAGCTGCTCTTTCCTCCAAGTTGCTTATCCCCGTGAGGCTAAGCACCCATGCGATGCACAGCATAGAAACCTGGACGCCCCCCCCAGTCCTCCCAGCTGTTTATCGCCACAGTAAGATTGGCTTCCCGACTGCCAGCTCCATCTTCTAAGTGGATTTGAACCCGGTCAGTCTCCTCCCTTCCACCCTTTGTTTCATATCTCTCACTTCCAGACCAGCAAGTTAGTCCCATCTTCTTGCCCTGCCGCCAGCCTGAGCCCTTTAATCCATCCTCTGAACTACTGCCCAAGGAGTCTATTTGGATTGTTTCTGGTGCTGGGGGCTGATCCCGGGGCCTTGGGATGCTAGGCAGGCCCTGTACCATTGAGCTCTCCAAGTGATTTTTGTAAAGATAAATCTGAATATTTTACTCCATTGCATACTTTCTTTCATGGCCTTTGGGAATATCCCCAACTGTTCCACCAGACCTTCCATGACCTTGCGCCTCCGGCTTCCCCATGCCCACCCTGCGGGCCCAGGCTCCAGCGGGGCACAGCGCTCACCAGCGCTCACACTCCCTCCCCGGCCGGTGGGCCCCTGCACACCTGTCACCTCCCTTCGAGATGACCTGGCTTTTCCTCTTCTCTTGGCCAAGTATTGTCATTTAAGTGTAAGGGGAACTGCCCTATCCCCAGGAATCCTCTCCACGTTCCCCTATCTAGACTTGGCACCCGGGTCTCCCAGTCTCCAGCACATAACCCCCCTGCCAAGTCCTCCTTAACTGTTGGTTTGCATAGTAGACCTGTGAGCGAGCTACTTAACAAGAAATCCTAGTTGTTTCACCTCTCCACCTCCAGCCCAGTGCCTGCACCTAATAGATGCTCAAAATACCCTTGCTGAAAGCATGCTGAATGAAGGTACACTTGGAGGTAGAGTATTCCACTACCGCTCTGCCACTGTCCAAGGAAAGGGCTGAATCTGCTCCCTGTTGCTACCAAGAAATATAGGAAGCACATTTTCTTTTCACTGGACCCGTTGTGTTGGTTTGGGGGATATTTTTGCAAGGGAGAGTAATATAATACAGGACACATTTTATATGATTATTTATAATAGTCATGCAAAGATTGATACACAAAAGAGTGCAGGAAATCTGTCCACATAGCAAGACCAAGGAATCCAGCTGAGGGCCCGGATCCCATGATAATGTCCTTCATGAGTCTAGCTTAAGACCTAGAGCTCATGACAATGCCTCCCACGTGGCCAATTGGAGGCCCAGAGCTCATGACAACATCTCATGCAGCCTGTTTCATGGATCTGCGCTTTGAAGGCCCAAAGGTCAGTGGTGGAAGCTAGAAAGTCTGTGCCAGCAGGATGAAGGATCTGTGCTAGCAGACTGAGGGATCTGGAGCCAGGAAGTGATGCTCAGAAGAACCAGAGCTCCCCTGAAAGGTACCGCAGCCATGCTCAGCAACAGTGAGGTCTGAAGCTCCTCCAGTGATCAAGATGGCCGAGTTCCCATCAGGGAAGCCAACGTGACAAGCTTCTCCAGGAGACTGACAGTGCACCATCACAGAGCCAGGAAGCGATGCTCAAAGTGAGGACCAGAGCTCCCTCAAAGTGAACCAAAGCAATTCTCAGTGCCAAAGAGGTCCCAAGCTCCTCGGATGATGAAAACAGCAAGTTCATCAGGAAAGCCAGCATGAGGAGCTCCTCCACAAAACCAACAGCTCCTTACAGCTTCCACCAGCTCCAACAGCCTCTCTCAGCTCCCACCAGCCTCTTCAGTTCCCAAAAGCCTTTCTTCTTCTCCAGTTCTGCCTCTGATGCTGCTGGCAACAACCCTCAGGTGGGCCTCCCACACCCAGCACCGAGCTTACTCAGTTCAGCTGGGGGTTGTAAGCTGACCACCAGTTGTCAATGCACTATACCCGTGCATACGGCGAAGCTTACTACTGTACCTGTCAGGGCTAATTCATCACGGAGGTCCTCTTAAAAGCTCAGGGGCAAAGTGAAAACTGGGCCACGCTGTGGTCCAAGACAAAGACCCCGACGCAAAAGTGATGACTCGCTACATTTCCCTTTTCTTCTCCTTCCCGTTGTGTAGCGATGCGTGTGCGTGTTGTATTGAGTGTGAACACACGATTCTTAAATAAGCGGGCTGAATACTAGTCTAGTTTTTAATCTGTATATATAATTAACTTTATAGGGTCTCAGAAGATAAAGAAAAGATCTGATACTGGAAAAATAAAAGGGGGTGGCGCGAAGAGGAAAAAAGAGTTGAACTGTGCTGTGCACGTGCCCCAGTTCCCTGCAGTGAGCGCCATCATTACGTACTGCAGCCGTGTACTAAGAAAGGTACAAAATCGGACGGACTGCGTCAGCTCTCCTCCATCGCACTGATCTTGAAAAGAATCACTGGACAAAATTGTGCAAGGAATTTCGTGAAGCATTTCTGTGTCGGGTTAGGGTCTCACGTGCACTTCTCTAACCGTGCTCCGCCCCCTTCCTGTCCGCGCGGTCCGCTTCCTCCCCGCACCCCGCACCCGCACCCCCAGCTTTTCGGGTGCTGTTGCCGCTCAGAGGCCTTTGCTCCACACTGCGCACTTCCTCCCTTCTTCCCCTTCCACTCCCATGCTCCTGGGGGGACAGCGGAGGAGAAGAGAGAAAGAAGCCCACTCGCATTCAGCCGCCGGGCTCCCTCCAGGAAGTGATCTTTCTGCTTTTTGGCCGGCCACACGCCACCCAGCCAGCCAGCGGCGCTAACTAATTAGCACACGTGATGGGAATTGAAAACAAAGTCGCCAACAATGAGAGCGTGGGAACCGGTGCAACACGGCTGTTCCGGCGTCCTCCCCTCCCCC